GATTTAGACAACTCCTGAAATATCTTGATTATATCTAAACAACGAAAATAGATAAAGTGTTTATTTTAACGGCACAAACCAGCACAAATCCAGCACTAACGAAAGACACCAGTTTTGCGCGATTTAGAGAAAATGGGGTGGAGAGTGACGTCACGGCTCCCGAAATATTTTGCTTATATCCAAAAGAGGAGAACAGATACCGTGTTCGTTTTAACGGCACAAACCAGCACAAATCGAGCACAATCAACCTGTGCTGTTTTGAAGTCATTTGCGCAACATGGGGTGGAAAGTGACGTCACACGGTCAGAAAAATAATGCTTAATATCTCAGACCCCAAACCAGCACAAACGTTTGTTTTTGCGGCACTAATCAGCACAAACGTAGCACAAACGAATGGCATAGTTTTGGGGATTATTTGTTTTTATGGGGTGCCAACTTCACAGAGGTTATGCACCTGCAACCTTCATGTACTTTATACGACACAGTAATTCACATTATTATTGTATTAATATGCTAATATTGTAAATGATCAAAACCAGGCAATATGCAGACTTCTTAACTCTTGAGTACTGTTCAAACGGACTTCCCTTTTGTGCAACATAGGCTCATTCTGAAAACGTAGCTCTACATAAATTTTTGGAGATCACTAATTATGCAGCCAGAGGAACGTATGGCTGCATTTCATCTTAAAATGCTACGCTGCGGTATGACGGCGCTCCTTTTTACACTAACCAGAGGACCGCTTACCTCTCACTGTTACCAGCTTGTCCAGTGGCTCGCCATGTACGTTAGAGGATTTGAGATGCAGAGTTGACAGTGACCATAGGGTTTGAGTCTGGTGAAGAATGGTTGCAGTGCAGGTAAGACAAAAACAAAAGTAAAAAAACAAAACAAACAAGTAAATAACAGGGTGAGAATGTGGTAAAAAAAATAAATGAGGCTGCCGTGAGGGCTTTTCTTTTTCTGGATTGCTTTTCAAAACACTGTTACTGGTGCTTTTTAAAACACTATCGGTCAACCCAGGCTCATTCTGAAAACATAGCGATGTGTATGCTTTTTCAGGTCTCAAATTTCTTTCCTGAGTGCCTGCTGTTCTCGAATAAATCCACCAGAGGTCGCTGTCGCCTTCCCTAAACCCAACCAATAGTGTTTTCAAAAGCATAGATTGACCAACCCACTGACTTCCATAAACCCAACCGTGTTTTAAATAACAAACAAGAAAAAGAAAAGCTTCTTGATTTTTTTTTTTACCACATTTTCAGATTTTAATCACATTCTCCCCATGTCATTTCCTTGTTTTTTTATTTTTTGCCTTTTGCTTTTGTCTTTCCTGCTTCCTGGCATCGCTCTTTGCTAGACTCGAACTCCATCGTTGCTGTCAACTTCTCTCTGCATCTCAAGTCCTCCAACATACACAGCGAGTAACTGGATAAACTGCTAACAGTGGGAAAGCCGTCCATTCAGAGATAAGTGGTCAGTTGGTAAGCTGTACCTTTCAAGGTTATTATAGTTAATGAACACAAACGAAAACAAGAAAACTAAAATGTTAAATCCTTTTCGTTAACTGAAAGAAACTGGTGTTTCTTTAAACTAGAACTAACTGAAACTGTATTGTGAACATATACAAAACTTACTGAAACTAACTAAAATTACAGCAAAAACTTCCTTCACTTTCATCTTGTATTTAAATGTGTTTTATACATAATCCCACTGTATGCCTTTTAGAATAAAATCTATTTACTTCGTGCAGCCCAGTGTTTGACCCGTACAGCACTTTAGTCTACAATTTTATTTAATTTTTTTTTTTTAAATTAACAATTTTATTACATTTTTTTTAATTTGCCTTTCAAAAACAATTTAGGTCAAACTCAATTCCAACATAGTCTTTCACAAACTGACTGAGACATGTCAGATACACAATGAATCAAATATAAAGCCATAGAATTACACTAAATAAACAAAACAAACTAAATAATAACAACAACAAAAAACAACAACATACCATGCAGACATCAAACAGAAACTCTGTAAGGGAATAAATAAAACCATATTCTTGAAGCAAATCATACATTTTTTTAGCCTGTTCACACTTTATTGTTTTGAAAGCCTCTGCATAGTTGGCAAACTTCTTTTTTAAAGACAATCCAACGTGGAGCTGTTTTCAAAAATTTGCATTTATGAATGAAGTATTTAAGTAAAATAAGTGAACATTTTGCAGAAATAGAGGTTCAACAGTTTCAGTATCACTATTGCAGAATTGGCAAACAATGAGCTCTATGCACAGCTTGAGTTTTAAAGCCAACGATAAACTTCCGCTGAAAACTTAATGTGACTATTTTGTTGTTTTAACAGCTTCAATGTTGTAATGTTATTACAATATATTCAGTTAAATGGACTTAGGCATTCATTAGTTGTTCAAAGCGTGAAATGAGATGAAAGACCATGTAACCACTAGCGCTGTCAGTAGCAACAGACTAGTGCAGAAATTTAATTGAAAATACTGGGGTAAAATAAACTCATATTTTAAAGACATGTTGGGGGGTAATGAAGTTTAATGCAGTGTTTCTTCTCCGATGTGACATTCACTTCATATCGTATATCTAACAGACAGTGAAGATCCCTTATTTTTAAAGAAATCATATAACATTAAACATTTAAACGTAGCAATTTTGACATGAAAAAACATTTTGTAATAACTGGGCTGCCTGGCTGAAAATTAAAAGTCTGTGTGCAAATAACCCATTCACAAATCTTTTTCTTAGAAACTCCCTTGCAGGGTAAATATCATGCATCATTTTAAAATGTACTTCTTTATATTTTGGAGGAAATGTCAAATATTTGGGGCGAAGCAGTGGCGTAGTAGGTAGTGCTGTCAACTCACAGCAAGAAGGTCGCTGGGTTGCTGGATCGAGCCTCGGCTCAGCTGGCGTTTCTGTGTGGAGTTTGCATGTTCTCCCTGCGTTCGAGTGGGTTTCCTCCGGGGCCTCTGGTTTCCCCCACAGTCCAAAGACATGCAGTCCAGGTGAATAGGGTAAGCTAAATTGTCCGTAGTGTATGAGTGTGTGTGGATGTTTCCCAGAGATGGGTTGCGGCTGGAAGGGCATCCACTGCGTGAGAACTTGCTGGATAAGAAGGCGGTTCATTCTGCTGTGGCAACCCCGGATTAATAAAGGGACTAAGCCGACAAGAAAATGAATGAATAATAATGTCAAATATTTGCATTTAATAAACATTTTTTTTAATTAAAAAATTGGAAAACATTTTTTTTTTCTTTGATTAGTACCAGGATAGCATTCCTGTATAAAAAACTTTTTCTTTTTTATTTATTTCAGTTTTTTTATTTACAAAAAAGAAAATATACAATTTTTACAATCAGATAGAAAAATACTTTTAACAGATATTAGCCCATTTATATCCCTCACCCCTCTCACCCCATTATACGCACATCCGGAAACACAGAATAACTGCAGTTTAGACCAAGCTATTGGATAAATTACATTTAAATATAACATTCGTAGCATTAGATGAGGGTTAAGTGTCCAAGATGTTTTTGATGTTGCATATACAGTTGAAGTCAGAATTATTAGCCCCCCTGAATTATTAGACCCCATGTTTATTTTTTCACCAAATTTCTGTTTAACAGAGAGAAGATTTTTTTCAACACATTTCTAAACATAATAGTTTTAATAACTCATTTCTAATAACCGGTTTATTTTATGTTTGCCATGATGACAGTAAAGTGACATTTAAAGGCTTAACTAGGTTAATTAGGTTAACTAGGCAAGTTAGGGTTATTATAAGTTATTGTATAATGATAGTTTTTTCTGTTGACTATTGAAAAACAATTTAGCTTAAAGGGGTGAATAATTTTGTCCTTAAAATGGTGTTTAAAATAATAACTGTTTTTTTCTAGCCAAAATAGAACAAATAAGACTTTCTCCAGAAGAAAAAATATTATCAGACATACTTTGAAAGTTTCCTTGCCCTGTTAAACATCATTTGGAAAATATATAAAAAAGAAAAAAATCAAAGGGGGCAAATAATTCTGAGTTCAACTGCAGATTTTCCATGCAGTAAGATTGTCCAGTTTAGCACAGTTGACCTGTGCTGATGACAGTTCCCGATACATTATTTCCAATAGTGGATGTAACCAGAGCTTAATTGAGAGATCACAAGGAGGTTTGACTTCTGTACCAACATCTTCTTTGTAGCAGTTAAAGCAGCTAACCAAAATGTACAGACTTTTGCATGTAAGGGAAATTGAGAGTAAAAGACACTTTCTAATAAACGTATTTGTTCATTTCTGGTCCACAAAACTCAACTTACCTGATTTAATATCTATAATATGGGTGTGACAGTGGAATAAACTAGGATCTCTTTTAACATAATAATTAATGGTTAGGGAATACATCTAATTAATTCATAATTCATTAATCTATCTATCTATCTATCTATCTATCTATCTATCTATCTATCTATCTATCTATCTATCTATCTATCTATCTATCTATCTGTCTATCTGTCTATCTGTCTATCTATCTATAATACAATGTGTATATCAACACAAATGCGTTCCCTTAAAACTTAATCCTTAACACAATGATTTCAGTTCTGGTCTCTTCTGAAATCTATGAAAACATGGAATAAAAAAGTGAGATCATCGCAGCAAACGATTAACCGTTAATTTATTTAGTATTATGTATGCCTTTCGTCACGGGAGCTCTTCCAATAATAATCTATTGCGCTGGATCTCCGTTGATGGTTGGATGTCCTTTCTGCCTATAACGGCTCCACCCAAGTTCGGTTGCCCAGCAGCGAGTATCCTAACCGTACTATGTCGATGGCGGGGGCTTATGAATATTAATTACGCGATGGTACGTTCGGCCAGTAAGCCAGGCTGGTATTACATTATAAATCCTTAAGTCATGAATATTAATGAACATTGGGACTGAACGTCAACATGCTGCTTTAAATAATTCATAAGCTCATCCGGCACAATAGTAGGATTCGCAACGTCGCTCCCTGGAAGCGTCATGGATGCTCAGTTGAACGCGGGGATCGAGAGTCGAGCACATCGCAGGACTGGAAGCGGAGCTTGTGGGATTTATTGCTAAACAGTCTCTCTGACTAAAGGCGTGACAACATCAGACTGGATCCGCGTGCAGACTGATCCATCGCATCATCGCCGAAACAAAACGTTTGTTTTGCGGAGCGCACTAGTGGAATCAAAATGTCAGATGCAGCTAGCGGTATTGGAGCTTACAGACGCCAATAGAGCATGTTATTGTTTATATGCTTATGATTTTCTGCTTACTGGGGATAGAGCGGTTGAAGACGTGCGTTTTGTCTACATTTCCGAAAGCAAATAAGTTGCGCGTGCACTTATGGATGGATAGCAGGTGCACGAACGGCTCACCTATAAATGTGATTCTTCACTCGCGGCTGTTCTGATTTCACGAGCCCGGGAAAATAATATCCGAGGATAAAACAGCATGTTTTTCCATTATAGCAGTGCGATAAGACACCAGTCGTGTTATGTTTAAATTGTGTCAAATTCTAAATCAGTGCAGCCACTCGAAATGTTAATTTAATTAGATACAGTAGCGTAAATCTAAAGAGTTTTATGTTTATTTTGTTTTCCGTTTTACGTTACGACAGTAACTCATCCCTTTATGGTTACGGCTATTTTAAAGTCTAAATTATTGTTATTTTGTATTCAAAGTAATTCCAACGTGACGTATACCATGCTGTGATAAATTCACAACACTTTCTGACCACTTTGAAACTAATGGAGAAACTAAAAGCAGAAATTATTTTAAACAAATATGTTAGCAGATTGTACAATGCATAATGCTATTCTATGAGTTGTTTTCTATCTAAATATCGTGATTTCTTTAGCTAAGTGTACATCAGTTGTATAGTTCTCATTGGTGATTTGGATACCCAAACAAACTCAAAAATGCACTTAGTTCCTGATCCCAGGAAGTATGGGGTGTGCAGTTTGATTGGGTTGTTTATAGTTAATTAAATGCAAAGTCAGTGTTAAAAGAGACTGGTCATTTGAGCGAAAGCTTTAAATCCAGAGGATGATCTTCTCTGGAGTGGCTGGACTGCTGTCAGAGCGGCTTTCACACGATTAACAGCCCGCTGCTCTTTTCTTTGCCTGTCCGCCCACACTAAAATCATTTACTGGACTATATGCTTTAAAAACTAGTTTGAGGTAAAGAGGATCAAGAATTTTTAACAGTGCAACAGTGGCATGTATTGTAAATCATACATAGCTGTATGATGACTCTAAAACACTTATTTCAGCAAATTAGTGCAAGTTTAGTTACTGAAACCTGTTAAGCTTGAGCGTTTTGTCTTTAAAACAGATCAAATTGAGAATATAGATGCATCTTTTTTGAAGAGTGCCAAACCAACTGAATTTACAAACTATAAACATGACTTTGAGATACCAGGAACGCTTATAAATTGTGAACAGCAGACAGTACAGCTTTTTGCATCAAGCATTTCTTTACGCCGCTGATGCAAATATGACCTTGTGATATCAGGAATTCAGATGCAGCCGATACCGAAGCTGATGCTGCTGTTGGAAACATGACATTGTGACATCAGGAGTCTGCCTCTAAAGCACCAGACTTGAGGAGCAGCTGACACTCTCTTTTTTGCTGCTGCTGCTGCTGATGATGCTGCAGCTGCGAAAATGCTGCGATTCCCTGTGAAGAAAATACGAAAACAGTTCAAACTTCTGCTGCTGCTGGTGCTGCTCACTTTTGCAGTATGGTTTACGTACCTGCACATCAACCAGGGCAAATCCATTAAGCTCCATTTCAATTATGGGAAAGGTAAGATGCTTTATTATTATTATTATGTATGTGATTTATATTAGACTGTATTAAATATTTAATTCAACGAGAAGTGAGTTAATTGCTATTCTCAGAGGGATTTTTGAATATTCTTGTTATAAGGATGAGGAGAAAAGGAGCTGTGGAGCAAGATAAGTAAAATAACTGCTGAATTATCAGTTTTATAATTAACTTTAATTAACTAAGACTGATAGTGAGTTTAAACATCAGCATTCAGCACATTTAATAACGTGCAGAATGAAAACTGGCATTTTAGGAGTTTTACATTTGTTGTTAATTTAAACTGCTTATTTAAAATAAGCTGAAACAACACAGTTATTCAGTTTTTTGGGGACAAGTTAATTAAAAATCCGTTTAAATTTGTAAAACGAATAAGATAACTTAATTCCTTCATGTTGTCCCCACACAAATCGTTTGTGTGGAATCAAGTAATTTTTTTTGCAGTGTAGTAATATTTTTTTCAGCATTTTGAAGGCATTAGCTTTCTTTGCACATAAAATGTTCAAATGAAAAGTGTTGTTTTCTTTTAATTACATAGTAATGCATTTCACATAATGGTGGTTTTATTAGAGTGCTAAATAGTGCAGATATGGAAAGGCAGATATGTTCAGAGGAGAAGTCTGCTGTGGTGAACTTTCAGAGAAATTTGGTTTTCAGTTCTCTGATCAAGTGTGAATTACCAGAAAGTGTGTTTCTGAAAATCTCTTACCTATGCAATTCGAAGGTCATTCAAATGCACCACTACTACTACTATGGAATCAATGCTAAAAGTATTAATTTAAAAAGCTTGTCAAATAGCACTAACTGAAAAAAAATTCATTGAGTTAACAACTGCCTGCATTTTTAATGGCTCGAATTGCCAAAGTTCGTAAATTAATACTTAATATTCAGCTCCCAGTTTTTCCTTTCAAAACATTCAGTTCTGTTTAAAAATACAAAGTATAATATTCAAAAGACAATTTTCAGTTCATTTTATTTCAGTTAAAAATTAGCTTCCATAAATTCGGTAATTGAAATTCGGCTGTTAAAACGATGGCATCGTCGTTATACATGGCGGTGATTTAATTATTTATAAATAATTAATTAATTCATAATTAATTAATTATTTGTAGCCTACCGTTTCAACTACCTGACCCGCATGGTCTTTGTTATACCTATAACCAAATCATAAATAAATAAAGATAAGTTACACACAAATGACCACCTGTCAATCACTTTTTTTGCAGGAATAGGCAGAGTGTTCTGTGTTGTTACTTACAACACAGACTTACTAAGTATAATCGTGAAAGTGAAAGACTGAAGCAGCGTACTGATGCTGTGACACCTTACCTGATAGATTAGTTGTCGTTAGATAGAGAAAAGAGGAATTAATATCACGTTAAGCAACTATAGTGAGACGGGATCCAGTGGAACATCCTTGATAAACTGTCTGACTTGCACTGTTCTCTGCATAGCCTACACTGCAGCACATGACAGAGTGTGTGTGTGTGGTCATATGATGTGCGTTTTCATCGGTATAGTGTGGAAGTAGGGCTTTTGAAACGCCAGTGTGGACGTGGATTGTTTCCGTTTTTAAAATTTAGTGTAAATTAGGCCTAATTAAGTGCAGTTTTCGTAAATGGGTTGCTGCTGTGACGAGGGCTGGCTTAGCATCGTGATGTCTATCAGCCACCGATGATGGCATCGTCTGTCGACCCAACTGTAGCAGTGATCTTTTGCTTCCTTGTCGAGCGTCGCCCATTCCGGTATCGCAGATTCAACATTTCTCAGACTGGTGGGGAGTCCAAGACTGATATTAATATTAAATGCTACCTTTGTGCCATTATTAGCTTTTATTCTCACCTATTTACTGGTTTAAAAATCCTAAATTGGTCCATCTCTACCTGCTGCAATTTGCAATCTCTTGAATCTGCTATCTGCAATCTATTGCCTTTCCTGCAGCTCCTTCATTTAAAGTCGAATCTTAACAGCCAAATTTGAATGACCGAATTTATGGAAGCAAATTTTTGAAATATAATGATCTGAAAATTGTCTTTTAAATATTTTGCTGTATATTTTATTGTTATTTTAAACAGAACAATATGTTGGGAGTGAGATCTGGAAGTGAATTCTGAAATATTGAACCAAAGTATGAAATTGTGTTTTAAATGGAAAAATTCACAGCTTAAACAAACAGCTGTGTTCAATTTCAGGACCTAAAATTACAAATTCAAGTCATTAAAATGCAGACAGCTGTTAATTCAGTGTATTGTTTGTTCAGTTAGTGCTATTCCACAAGCTTTTTATCTCAATACTTTTAGCATTGATTTTGTTTCATACATCACACGCTCATGCAAATATCATATGTAATTACATTGGAAGCAGTTGCACTTGATGTATTTTTATAACAAAGATGTAGGAGGCAAATAATTTTAAAAATAAGAAAGAATTTTTACTTGTTAAATACAACATGATTTGGTAATGAGCTGTGAATCATCTGTTTCTCAGCTCCCACATGCACAGAGGTTTTTATTCTTATTTGAAATGTGTCATTGCTGTGTTACTAGCAGAAATGTTAAAAAACAAAACATAAAAAAAAACACAAAAAAGGAAAATTTTTGACAGGCTGCATATATGCTATATGCTATATTGAGTTTTATACTGCAAGAAGTGTGTTCACAATAAGTTAAATGGAGGTTTTCCTGAGAACAATATTTTCTTAGAGCTAGATATCATCAAAGCTGAAGATAAGAACAGAGGCAGAGGTGATTGGTGAAGTTAACATTTATCTTTCAGTATGTTTACACCTTGTAATACATTTAAAAGCATCCCAGCATTTTATATGTAATGTTAGGGCTGCACGATTCTGGCAAAAATGTGAATCACGATTTTTTTTTGTTGCTTAAAATCAAGATTTTCTCACGATTCTGTAAATGTAAAATAAAGGTTAATATGATTAGACTATTATTATTGTTAATTCTCAAACATATGGTAAAACAACAATAATAATATTAGGCCTACGTATGTGTAGGTCTACTGTTGCTTAAAATGCAACATTCTGTTCAGTCATTATGGTGGACTTAAACAGACTTTCAGTATGTCCTGTTTGTTAATACACAGTAAAATGATAACATCAGAATATAACTATTCATAATTCTGAAGTTGATTTATTATATGATTCATTATATTTCCGTTATATATAGGCTAGGGTTTTTATATTGAGATAGTAGACATTTATTTTAATGCACAACACTCTGTGTTCGCTATAAATAATAAATAAATAAATAAATTCGCTATATATAAAAAAAAATATATCAAATGCTTGTCGTAATCATAACTCTAAAATGCAACATGATAACTTAAATGATGTACGCACAGGTTTCACTTTCACTTTCGAGTGCGGCTCATGGCTGCTGTCACTGTGAGAAAAAAACACACGACTGCAAAACAAACCTCCCGCATGGCCTTCAAATAATCGCTCTGAAAACCAAATCGCCAAAAACTGAACGTTATTTACAACTTCATTACCACATTATTTACAGCCTATGCAGGTTCTGTTCACTAAAGTAGGCGTCGTGCGTGCATGCGTGCATTCGCGGTAGTAAACAAACAGTGCGCCAGCTCACGTGTGATTTCACAACCGTGAATAGATGATTACATGAAGACAGAAATTACATTTTTAGGTGAATTATACTTTATAAATACAGTATGTGACACTTTTAATACCATTTGAAGCTGTTAATGTTGCTGTGAAGACTTGTGCGACTGCCTTGCTTCTCTCCTGACCTTGAAAATATAATTAACTGAATCGTAGAAAAGCTGAATTAAGATTGTGTGTAGGGTCGAATCAAGATCGTGATCTTTTTTTGATTAATCTTGCAGCCCTATGTAATGTGTAGTTTCTGTTTTGTTGGATTTGACTTGTTGGATATTGGACAAATGCAGAACAGTCAAACACCACAATGCCCTTTCTCTTTAACCATAAATAAAAAAAAAACTTGTATCAGAACTAGAGCGGGGCATAGGCTGGGGTTTGTTAGGGGTGGTTCCATTGGCGCTGATAACATTCAGTCATTGTTGTTGTTGCTTTTTTAACATTTAGTTTTAGTAGTAGTGCTGTGCCTTATTTGTTTAACCCTTTATGGTGACGTGCTGACAGACTGACTGACAGGTGCGTGATGCATGAGGTCAGCAAACGTAGCTTTTAGTTAAGGTGAACACAGTTAAGGTGAAATGTGCTATATAAATAAACTAAACAAACATAAACAAACAACACTGTTTCCATAATAATACTTTATTTATAGATAAAGTTTATGTTTCTGCATACAATGACTTTATTTTGCCGCAGTTTATAGCCGTTTCACTTTACTTCAGGATGCATTAATACCGCTCTCTGTGGGTCTGTTGGAGAAATTCATAAATATTCCTAGCAAATCTTAAATATATTGGAGACATACTTGCTACATAAACGCACTAAATCGCACTTCATCAGCATTTATTTGAGAGCGCACAAGTAGATCTGCGCTTGAGCAACGTATATTTGAGGACATGCAAGAAGTTTTACGCACGAACAGAGGAAATCGGTGCGCAAGCAAAGAGATTTGCATGCTCATATTACATAAATGCAATCTCGACAATACTGCACTCACAACATTTATCCATAGGTAGTTGGTAGATTTGTGTAAAAGACCTGCCGCCAAAGCTGGAAAAAATCCTAGAGGAAACACTGCTCCGGTTTTCCCCACAAGTCCAATGACATGCGGTATAGGCAACCCAAGCTCATTCTGGAAACGTAGCCCCGCGGACGTTTCTGGAGACCGCGATTTACGTGGCCGGAGGTACGTAAGGCCGCGTTTAGTTTTTTTCGTAGGTCCCGGTGTAAGCGAAGTGGGGATCGGGCTTTTGCTGTTGTCGCCCCAAAACTCTGGAACGGGCTTCCGCCCCACATCAGACATGCTCCAACTCTACCTGTTTTTAAAAAGCGTTTGAAACACCATCTT